AGCATCTGCCTTCGGCTCAGGTCATGATCCCGGGGTCCTGGGATTGAGCCCCACATCAGGCTCCCTGCTCAGCGGGAAGCCTGCTTCTCCCTCTCCCACTCCCCCTGCTTGTGTTCCCTCTCTCGCTGTGTCTCTCTCTGTCAAATAAATAAATAAAATCTTTAAAACTACTGAATTTTTAATACCTTGATTTGTACTTTAAACACCTAAGAATGGATGATAACATGCAGTGTTTCCCAAACTTATTTAACCACAGACTTCCACTTTAAAGAAAGACTATTAAAGAACACAATTTGGAAATCACTGAAAGAAGCAAGAGTCTACTTGACCAAGCCTCTGGACCACAAAGACATAATATCTTCAAAAGGATATCATTAACTACACTAAATACTGATTCTGAAAACACATTTGTTTTAAATAAATATATTTTAAAAGTGAATATACCATTAAAATATTTCTCTTTCTTCAGGAAGAAAGCAGTAAAGTAAATGAGATTAATACGCTACCTAGTAAGATCCCAGAGTGTCCATAGTGCTGTATCTTAAGATAAAAAAAACTCTTAATTCTTTATCAGTTCCATGAAGGAACTAAAAATGGGTTTTCCAATATCCAGCACACTTGTGATTTCTAAGGGAAAATACGTTCCAGTTAACTGTAGTAACTGTTTTAGTTTTCCCCAAAGCGTCTGATTTACCTGTACACATGTGAACAGGTAGAAGTTTAACTGAAAAGAGACAACTCAAGTTCAGCCTGCTCCCTCTGATGCAGCAGTATGTGTGAGGCCTATATCTCTGAGTATCATGTCATTGGCAGCTAGGACAACATAGTGGGGCTGTGAGGCACTCAACATTTTTCACTCGTTCCACTGCCTAACTTGTAGTTCAGCTTGCTTCCCTTTTCCAGAGTCCTAAATTCACAAAGTAAGACTTATTACCATAAACAAAGAGGCCATCAAATGCCTTTCCCAGCCACCACCATTCACAGGAATTTCCTTAGAATTTCAGCTTTTTAAAATAAGATTTAGTCCTGGGGTGCCTGGGTGGCTCAGTTGTTAAGCGTCTGCTTTCAGCTCAGGTCATGATCCCAAGGTCCTGGGATCGAGCCCTGCATTGGGCTCCCTGCTCGGCAGGAAGCCTGCTTCTCCCTCTCCCACTCCCCCTGCTTGTTTTCCCTCTCTCGCTGTGTCTCTATCAAATAAATAAATAAAATCTTTAAAAAAAAAAATAAGATTGAGTCCTGATATATTACAAATGCCTCAGAGAAATATTTCCTCATTTGTATCCCACAGCAGATCAAAAAATCCTTGGAACTGCAGACCTTGTTTCCTTCAGTTACCATCTCCAGTGCCCAGCACAGAGAGGGTCAGAAACTTGGTAAACATTTGTAGAATGAATAAGAAGTAACATTAAGATGTATAAACTAACCTATAGCTTAGTGTGAATGAAATTCTTCAGGGCCTTTCCTGAGAAGTTTTGGGTAGATCATCAGTTGCATTGAAAGAGTTAAGATAACCCTGAAGAGGGCCGCCTGGGTGGCTCAGTCGGTTAAACCTCTGCCTTTGGCTCAGGTCATGAGATCCTAGGATCAAGCCCTGCATCGGGCTCTCTGCTCAGTGGTGAGTCTGCTTCTCGCTCTCCCTCTGTGATCTCTCTCGCTCTCTCTCAAATAAATAAATAAAACTAAAAAAGATAGCCCTGAAGAGAAAGCCTAAGAAAGGCTCCTTTTCAGTTCTGTCTGGAAACATCATCATACCATGGATCAGTCTAAAGGAACATGGTTCTTCAAAAGAAACCCCATACTTCAGCTGAATGCCATATGAAATTATCTTGTTTCTCACTGAAGTCCCTCTACAAAAATCTATTTCAGCGAGACATTAACAATTGGCAATCCTTTTTGACAGCAAAGTAAGACCAAGAAACAGGGACCTTAACCTTTCGGACTTCTTTTCTAACCCTAGAATTGTTGGTATGGTACTCGATCAATTGCTAATGCTTGAATTAATCAACAACATAAAGAACGCTGGATTAGCAGAAGGTTATCCAGCCAATGCAAAGGATCAATCATTAAAAACCCAGTTTCTGGAGTCAGATAAACCTGAGGTTGAATCCTGGCTCCACTGCTTACTCTTTAAGCCTGAGTTTCCACATATGAAAAGAAATATATTAATTAAGCCTATAACGTGGAGTTGCAGTAAGGTTTAAATAGGAATATATGCAGTTCTTTGGACTGGGCCTGGCACATAGTTAGTTCTCAAGAAAAGTGAGTCATCATCTAGAAACCTAGATTCACATTCACCACTACCTCCCTATGTATCCTTGGGCTCATCACTAGGAAGAAGCCAATGAAAATAAAATTAAGTGCTCTCTAATGCTGGAATTATCAATCATAAATAAGGTAAAAGAAAATAGATCAAAACTTTTTGAAAAATAAAAGCCTTAAACAATTCAGATATTTTTTGGCTTTGTACTTGAAGCTTGCATATGTTTAATCACAAATGACTCAGCACCATAATATCAAAATGAAAAAGCCTCAACAGGCAGACTTCAGGTATTCTCAAATACTTCAGTGCCTGTGGTGAAGGATGGACTTTATGAAACACCTGTATATGTTGGGGGTGGGGGCACAGGTCTCTGTATTAAATGGCTTAAAGACAATCTTGTTACCATTTTTTTTTTCCACAGACGAGGTTAAATCTTTTTTCTTCCTTAGACCTTAAAATTTATCAGTATCAGCTCTGTATAGCATAGCATCCAAGGAAAGGTCACTGTTCAATCTAGCAGCTGTGTTACAGAGAACCATTACAAGTGCATAGGCAGGCACCCAGAGCACAGGCTGGTTCTCTGTCACCACTTACCCTGTGGTGTGCACCTTTGTGCAAGGGCACAGCCATACACAGCAGTCATGCAGATAAACACAAAGATCTTCAGTATTTAACCGGCATACCTGTGTAACTATTTATACAATATACACCCACACATACACAAACATGACAAAGTTGTCAGGATTTAACTGAGTAAATGAAGAAGGATATTCATCAAAAAATGAAAATACAGAGCTTCAAAAAGTTCAAGAGAGCAGGTTCCTGTCCCCTCCCCCACCCTCAGCTGGCCAGTACCGGGATATTGAAGCCAACAGGAATTTGGGGAATGGGAGGTAGGTAGAGGCTTCAACACTGTAAAACTCCGATCCCTGGAAAAACTATGGCCTTTCCCCGATAGCTGCTCACTCACACACTCACTCTCAAAATGAAGAGAGGAGAAAAAACCCCACAGACAGCAAATGACCTACTCATCTGAGTCTGCAAGAAGAGTGGTAAACAAACTGTTGTCTTGTTTGAACTGCATTAAAAATCTGTAATCCCAGGCAAGAGTATACTATATGCTAAAGGAACCAGTCTTAAAATGTTGACTGTCAGTTCTGTCTCCTTGAGCTTTTCCCTACCAGATACCCAATGCTCATATAAAAAATTATTTTTTGTTCAGTATTGCATATGCATATCAATCCTGCTGAACTTTACAACAGTTGCCTTCCATTAAAAATAAATACAGGACATTACATTTCTAACACTGTGACCTGCAAAACACCATAGTTCAAGAGCTATTTAAGGAACAGAAATTCCAGGTTAAATATGGTATATTATCACATGTGCAAAGACAATGTAAAAGAATATTCATTGCAGCACAGTTTATATGAAGTTTGGAAGTAATCTAAATGGCTATTAAAGAGAGAATGCATTAGTAAAGTATAATACATTCATACAATGGAAAACCTTGAGTTAAAATGTAAAGATTTTAAGCTACCAGTTCCAATTGAGGTATTATGTGGATAAACTGCAAACAATGCACAGTAGAAGAAAAGCTGCAGAATGATACATGTAATACTATTTATATAAGGTTTTAAAACTCCTGATATTACCTCTGCCTTAGAATTTGTTAGAACAGTCTTGCATGTTCCTCGTATGTACATTAAATACCTAAGGAATATTCACTCTAAAAATAGAAAAGGTTAAAAAAAAAAGACTATTAATCATATAAAGTTTCCCCAATGGCAGGGAGGAGCCTTATTTAGTACTGAAAGTCACTTAACCCTTTAAGTCATAAGATGTGTGTTCTATCTCCATTCTACTACTCACCAAGACACTATTTTACCAAGCCTCAGTATGCTCACCTACATGGGGTTGATAACACCTGCCTCGCAGGTTGAAGTGAAATAATGCATGTATAAGAGTTTATACAAAAGGTCTTGGACTTGTTTTTTGCCTATCAGTCAAGAGATCACATAATAACACCCTACAGGGGAAAAAAAATGTTGAGTCTGCACTTTTTCATCTAGTCTCGTATATGGTTAAATATGACAAAGAACACAACAGGAAAGGGCAACCCCTCACCTTCCTCCTCCCAGTCCCTGATCTGGCTGCCTCCTATGCTTTCTATATTTAGCACGCATTGCCCCCCCAAAAAAACAAACAAACAAACAAAACACAAAACCGTGGCTCTTGCAGGGCTCCCTTCGGAACTCCCCGTGATCTTGGAATCTCTTTAATTTCGCCAACCCTGCCGCCCCTCACCACACACACCCCTCTGCAGCCCCGGAGGCAGATGAACGAAAACCCAACGGTCATGGCCACATAAGAGACCGTAAAACTCACAGTGCGATGTTGTTGGGTTTGAAAGGTTCTGTTTGTTTTAAGAGGAAAGGATACCGTAGACTCTTAAACCCTACTCTTAGAAAGAAGATCTGGGCAAATAAGTTCTGCGATTTGTTTCCAAACACACCGTCCCCACATCTGGATCCAATACAAAGCCAGGCACACCGAGGCCCCTGGAGCGGCAGGCTGCGTTTGCAATGGGGCAGACCACCTCTCACACCCTCCCGCACACAGGCATCCACCTAGGCGCACACGCCGGCGCCGACACACACTCCGCACGCGGGATGCTCTCAGAGGCCCTGTGCCCGCTCTCCCCCCACTCCCGGCTGGCGCGGCGGGCTCCGCGCCTCACCTGTCTTGAAGACCATCTTGTCATCGTCCTTGGACCCGAAGGTCTTCAGCATGGCCACGAAGAGCACCCCGCAGGCGTTCTGGATGCCGAACACCGACCCATTGCACCACATGGCGGCAAACATCACCAGCCAGCCCCAGCCGCCCTCGGGAGGCTGCGGGGGCTCAGCGCCCGCCGGCCCCGTCAGCTCTACCTCCACCTTCTCGACGGACGCCTCGGGGCCGTCCGAGGGTCCCGGGCCGGGCAGCGGAGCGGCCCCCACCGTAGGAGCGGGGCCCGGTGGCTGCGCCTCGCTCGTCCCCCGCGCGGCGGCGGGCTCCTCGGGGAAGGGCACCATGGCCCGAGGCGGCCCCCTCGGGCGCCAGGGGAGCGCGAGAGGTGCGAGTCGCCGGCGAGCTCGCGGAGGAGCTGCCGAGCGCCGAGCCGGCGGGCTGGTGAGGCCGAGGCGAGGGCGGCGGAGCTCCCGGTGGGCAGTCAGCGCAGGACACCGAGGCTGCCGCGAGGAGGAAGGCGGAGGCGAGCGAGCACCTCACAGCCCAGGGACTCGGGCCTCCAATCCACAGCCCCGCACCCGCCACTGCGTCGGGGGCCAGCCAGCCGGCTCTTAAAGACGCCCCCAAGACCGCTGGCTGGGGGCGTGGCTGGAGCGGGACGTGCCCCAGACTCTCGAGATGATTGGGCTTCAGAAGAGCGGAGGCGGGGCCCACCCGCCTGGAGGAGCCAAGACCCAGGTGCCCGCGGGTGGCCGTCTCTGCGCGCGCGCCTGCGGCAAGGCCTCCTCCTACCCAGTGGGGGGTCACAGATGTTTAGGTTACCTCGCCGCAAAGTGGTAACGGAAGGAGCGCGAATCCTCCTAGGTACAGGCCGGGTGTGTCATCACACAGCAGTACGGGAGATTCTTTAGCCTTAGCTCACTGACAGCTTCACAACCAAACTAACATTGCCTCTTTGTTTTTGTTTGCTTTTTGGCATTCACCTCTTATTATTAATTATAATATATAAGCTACGTAATGCCACCTGCTTACCCAAAAGAAAGTCAGAAGAGGACTTACTGAATTATTTCTCCTGCTTTTATACACAATTTCCTATAAATACTTGGCACATTAAAGATGCCCATTTTGTAAGACGCAGACTACATAATACCAAAGCCTTCAAATAACATTTTTGACAGTGGAAAAACATTATTTTTAAACTACAGCACAGTTGTTTTCACTTTAAACAAAAATGAGCACGTATATTTTTTTTTATAGTCAGATATTTATTTAAAAATCTGATCTACCAACTTAGCGTTTTCCACCAACTTGGGGTGCAGAAACCTTCACAGGCTTCACAATCTTTTGCTTAGGTGCTGCCTTCGTAGGAGCCTTAGCAGCAGCCATTGCTGTCTTTTTAGATGCTTGCTTAGCCTTTTTTGCTTCCTTAGCAGCCCTGATGGCCTGTTCTTGTTGTGCCTTCCTAACTTCAGGTTTCTGATTCCTCTTGGCCATTACATCAGCAAGAGATGCACCAGTGATGGCCCTCTGGAATTTAACTGCACGGCGGGTTCTTTTCTTTTGGAATTTCTTCCGACTGTCCCTTTTTGTGCTTTCTTCTGTAGAGGACAGTCCAGTTTATCTGGCGAGGATTCCTCTTGGAAAGGATGAGGATTCGCATTTTGCGTTAAGAAACTGGAAAGCCTTCCCGTCGGTCCTGGCGTAGCGCCTGCCATGTCGGGGGTAAATCTTGTACCCACTGAAACTGCACAGCTCGACCTTCATAGCGGCGGCAGCCGAGATGAAGGAAAGACGGTGAAGAGCGAGCACGTATATTCAACTCCTCTGTCTCCCCGAAGCATGGAGCCGCAATGTATGTGAAAGAAAGGAAAAATAGCCGTGCAATATTGAGCACACTTCTTAATTTCTCAGTTACTCAGATTCTTCACTTCAAAGTCAAAATATACTAGTTATTTTGTGTGCCCACCACTATGGTGGAGTATACAGATGAGTGTGATTGATCATATTTCTTCCTCTACTTGTTAATAAACTAGTAGGAGAAAATCCTGGGTTAGAATAGGAGGCTCAGATGGTATTATAATACATATATAACAAACAGGAGTGGGATGGAACCATAAAATTCTCTTCAAAACACTATAGAAGAGCTTCTACAGCAAGTCGCCATGGAGCTGAGCCCCAAATCAAACAAGTACCTTGAGTGGGCAAAGATAGGGGAAGAGTATTCTAGGTAGAGAAAATCGCCTAAGCTATGGAAAGCAGAGTGTGCTTGAAGAACAAGGGACATAGCTCAAACAAAATGTGTCTTAGGGATAGGGTTAGAATAATAGACTAAGACTAGTCATACAAGTGCACAAAAATGAATGCACAGGATGTTAATCCAGCATTGTTGGAAAATAAGGAAAAAGTGGAGGCAAAGATATGCATCAGTGGCTGGTTGATTAAATACATACTACATCATCTCTAGAAGTTATGTTGTTTACCTCTATGGACTTTGAAAGTTATGCACATTTTATTTAGCAAAGAAAGCACATCATTAAAAAAGATATGGATTATAACACAAAAAATAAAATAAGTATCCATAAAGTATATTAAATCTTCCTCTCAAAACCCATAATCCCGGTCTAATTATTAAAAAAAAATTAGACAAGGGCGCCTGGGTGGTTCAGTCAGTTAAGCCTCAAACTCTTGATTTGGCTCAGATCATGATCTCAGGGTTGTGAGATTGAGCCCCTGATCAGGCTCTGCACTGGGCATGGAACCTGCTTAAGATTCTCTCTCTGCCCCTACCCCTGCTCCTGCAGGCACAAGCGCTCTCTCTCTCTTAAAAAAAAATTAGGGGCGCCTGGGTGGCTCAGGTGGTTAAGAGGCTGACTCCGTTGGCTCAGGTCGTGATCCCAGGGTCCTGGGATGGAGCCCCAGGTTGGGCTCCCTTCTCAGCAGGGAGTCTGCTTCTCCCCCTCCCCCTGCCCCTATGCCCACTCGTACTCACACACACTCTCTCTCTCTCTCAAATAAATAAATAAAATCTTTTTCAAAAAATTAGACAAGTCCCAATTGAGGGACATTCTACAAAATACCAGACCAGTACTTCTCAATACTGTTAAAGTCATCAAAAACAAGGAAAATCTGAGAAACTGTCAGATCCAAGAGGAACTGAAGGCAGTGTGATGACTAAATGGAATGTGGCATCCTAGATGCGATCCTGGAACAGAAAAAGGACATTAGGTAAAAACTAAGGAAATCTGAATAAAATAAAATAAATTATTAATATTGGCTCATTAATTGTAACAAATGTGGAATACAAATTAAGATGTTAATAAGAGAACTGGGTGAAGAGGTATGGGAACTCTGTATTATCTTTGCAATTTTTCTATAAATCTAAAACTGTTCTAAAAATAAAATTTGTTTTTTAATTTTTCTTTTTTTTAAATAAGCTCTAGGCCCAACATGGGGCTTGAATTTACAACCTTGAGATCAAGAGTCACATGCTCCACCAACCGCATCAGCCAGGAGCCCCTAAAGTTTATTTTTTAAAAGTTTGTGTATCATGATTCCATTCTTGTAAAAATATGTATATATGTACGTAACAATTTTTAAACATGATACAGTTTATTTTTAAGTTTCACTTTATATATATGATTGTTATAGGTATAGCATATATAACATTATTTCTAAGCATTATAGAATGTGCTTTATTTTCAGATTAAAGTTTGACATTTTTCACAGGGATTGATTTAAGAATAACTTGGACTTAAAGGATTAAAAAGTTAATGCCGACAAACCACTTAGACAGTGCCTGGCACACAGCAAGCTCTTATGAAATGTTAGCAGTTACTACCATTATTATTACTATTGATGACATCAATATTCCTTCCAGTGACTTCCCAATACCACCATTTTACTGGAATCAAACAATTTAAATGGATGTTTACATTTTTATTAATACAACTTTTATTTAATCACAGATATATCAAGTTAGGAAATTAGAATATGAAAACATTGAAATTTGGGAGCTTAGATGTCCTTGTCCTCAACTTTTATGTTATCTATTCGTTAAAGAGAAATTTATTTCCCACCAGTTACTCTTTCCCCAACTCACAAAAGGCACTGCTTAAAAAATCTGATACTAGGTCTACAACACAAATAAATGGAAAGATATTCCATGCTCATGGAATGGAAGAAGTAATATTGTTAACATGTCCATACTACCCAGAGCAAACTACAGATTCAGTGCAATCCCCATCAAAATACCAATGACATTTTTCATAGAACTAGAACAAATAATCCTAAGATTTGTATGGTGCCACAAAAGATGCTGAATAGCCGAAGCAATCTTGAGAAAGAAGCACAAAGCTCCCTAATTTCAAACAATACTACAAAGCTATAGTAATCAAAATAGTAGGATACTGGGCACCTGGGTGGCTCAGTCGTTGGGCGTCTGCCTTCGGCTCGGTCATGGTCCCAGGGCCCTGGGATCAAGCCCCGCATCAGGCTCCCTGCTTAGCGGGGAACCTGCTTCTCTCTCTCCCACTCCCCCTGCTTGTGTTCCCTCTCTCGCTGTGTCTCTCTGTCAAATAAATAAATAAATAAATAATCTTAAAAAAAATAGTAGGATACTGGCACAAAAACAAACAGATAGATCAATAGAATAGAATAGAAAGCCCAGAAATAAACTCATGCACATAGGGTCAACTAATCTATGACAAAGGAGGCAAGAATATACAATAGGGAAAAGACAATCTCTTCAATAAATGGTGTCGGGAAAACTGAACAGCTACATACAAAAGAATAAAACTGAATCACTATCTTACACCATATACAAAAATAAGTTCAAAATGGATTTAAGATTCAAATATAAGACCTGAAATCATAAAACTCCTAGAAGAAAACATAGGCAGTAAGCTCTTTGACATTAGTTTTAACAGGATTTTTTTGGACCAGTGTCCTCAGGCAAGGCAATGAAAGCTAAAATAAGCAAATAGAATTACATCAAACTAAAAACCTTTTGCACAGCAAAATAAACCATGAACAAAATAAAAAGGCAACCTGCTGAGTGGGGCAAGATATTTGCAAATCATACATCCACTAAGGAGTTAATATCCAAAATATATAAAGAATTTATACAAATTAATATCAAAAAAAACAATTTAAAAATGGGCAAAGGACTTGAATATACATTTTTCCAATGAAGATATACAGATGGTCAAAAGACACATGAAAACACGGTCAACATCACTAATCAAGGAAAGGCAAGTCAAAACCACAATGAGATATCATCTCACACCTGTCAAAATGGCTAAGATCAACAACACAAAAGAAAAAACAGGTGTTGGCAAGGATGCGG